AAGTCCCTGTTTTCCTTATCTTTGGGTGGGTAGCTCTGGGGAGCCGACAGGGCTCCCCCCCCCCCCAGAAAACCAGCGTTGAATGTAATGAAACACCATTTTCTGGGTGAGTCCCGGAGGCTGCCCAGCATCCCTCCCGCCCTCCGGTCGGCGGTGTTTTTCGCACTTTTTGACATCCAGCCTAAGAACTGAAGGTTGAGTTGCCGGCGGGTGGGTCTGAGGCTTCCCCTTCCCCCTCTTGGGGAAGGGGGGGGAGCCCCATTTTCAAAAGCAATTTCCTTGCTTTTTCACAAATGATGGCCTCTGAAACTCTATCACCCACTAACTCCTTGCTGTGTATCCAAATTAATAATAACTGTTCAACATCCTCAAGTGTTTGTGTTCTATGTTTTGTGATTATTGATACGCCTTTTGTCACCTTAGCACTCATAATGTCACTTTTTCTTAGCAAGTATGCTGGATATTGTTGACTGAGATTTGTTGTACAGTGGTACCTCGGTTTACTAACGCCCGTTTACAAATTTTTGGGGTTATGTGCCCGATTTGTTCGGAAAATTTTAATCAGGTTATGAACTTTACCTCGGGATACGGGTTTGTTGATATGTGTACGGCCGACCTAGCGCGTGGTGGCACGGCGATTGCGCCTCATTTTACCAGTGCCTCGCGTCCAGTGACTATCCCGCCAGTTTTTTTGGATTTTTGGTTATTTGAGCATAAAAGTTATTATATATCTCGCCATGGGGTCCCAAGAAAGCCAGTGGTAAGGTTCAAGGCAAGAAATCACATGTGAGATTGACCATAGAGGAAAAACAAGAGATCATTCATAAACATGAAAATGGTACACATGTTGTTGAACTAGCTAGGCAGTACAGGGGTACCTCGGTTTAAGAGTTTAATCTGTTCCTGGAGACAGCTCGTAATCCGAAAACTCGTAAACCGAAGCTAATTTCCCCATAAGAAATAATGGGAAATAAATTAATCCATTCCTTACTATCCAAAAACCTCACTTCAGACTAAATTTTATACCTAATTCATCCAAATCTACACTACAAAAGTATGTTCAAGTTATTACTTACCCTTGCTGATGACTCCTGTTTACATATGGAAGATGGTGAGGAGGGGGGAGGAGGAGATGTGTTACTGTTTGGAAGGGGGAGTCCCCTTCCATTATAAAATCAGGCAGTAAAGATTTTTTTGGAGTGCACACTCTGGCACGTTTTGCCTGCCTACCACAAGGTCCTGGTTCTGGCTCACTGCTCAATTTTCTCACAACGAAACGATCCATTGAAGATATGTTTTTCCCTTCTTTGCAACACATGTCTGTAGTAAGACATCACATTGTCATTTAAAAGGTCAATGCAACGGCCTGCTACAGCTTTATCTGAGCGAGTTTATTCAACAAAACTTTGCAATTCTTCCCATACTTCACACATTTTCTTAATGAGGAAGGGACATCCTCTACTGCCTCTACTCACAACTATTTTCTTAGGTTGAACCTTACCACTGGCTTTCTTGAGATCCATGGCGAGATATATAATAACAACTTTTATGCTCAAATGGGCAAAAATCCGACAAAAAACTGTAAATCCTTGTGAAGAATTCAGGTGGGATAGTCACTGGACGCTAGGCTCTGGTAAACTGAGGGGCGATCGCCGTGCCAACACGCTCTATGTCGGCTTGTACGCTTATCAGCACCCTCATATTCCAAGGCAACGCTCGTATTCCGATGTAAATTTTCCGAACAAATCCTACTTGTAACCCAAAAAACTCGTAAACAGGAATGCTCGTAATCCGAGATACCACTATAACAAATCTTCAGGGGAGGAGGAGGAGGCAGTAGAGGATGTCCCTTCCTCATTAATTAAGAAAATTTGTGCAGTACGGGAAGAACTGCAAAGTTTTGCTGAAAAGAATCGCCCAGATAAAGCTTTAGCTGACCGTTGCATTGATCTTATTAATGACAATGTGATGTCTCACTACAGACAAGTGTTACAAAGAAGGGAAAAACAATATTAAAAAAAATGAGAAAATCATGCATTGAGCCAGAAGCAGGTCCTAGTGGTATGCAGGCAAAACGTGCCAGAGTGAGTACCCAAGAGAAGTCATCACTGCCTGATGTTATAATGGAAGGAGACTTCCCTCCCAAACGGTAACACCTCTCCTCCCCCCCCCCCTCCTCACCGTCGTCCATATGCCAGCAGGAGTCATCATTAAAGGTAAGTAATAACTTGCACATACTTTTGTAATGAAGATTTGGGTGAATTAGGTATAACATTTACTTTGATGTGAAGTTTTTGGGGAGTCAGGAACGGATTAATTCATTTCCCATTATTTCTTATGGAGAAATTCGCATCGGTTTACAAATTTTCGGGTTACAAACTGTCTCCAGGAACGGATTAAATTTGTAAACCGAGGTGCACCTTGTACTGCCTAACTATTTCAGCAACCCGCACACCATCTTCATATTTACGAATGATCTCTTTTTTTTGCTCTATGGTCATCCTTACATATGTTGAACCTTACCACTGACTTTCTTGGGACCCATGGCTTAATATATAATAATCAGTTTTTTGTTCAAAAAGCAAAAAATAACCAAAAATGTAGAATTTCTTATAAACATGATCGTCACTAAGCAGGCAGCTCTAGTAAACTGAGGCAGGTCGGCTCGCGTGACCGGGAACCATGCGCTCAGGCGATCCGAACATGTATCAACAAATGTCGATAGTAGGCGACACTATCATAAGTCGAGTTGCATTTTCCAATCAAATTTATATCGTAACTCAAAATTATCATAAGTCGGGGTAATTGTAAGTCGAGGTGCCACTATGTTTGGTTCTCTGAGAACTTCATTTTGCACAAACACACTTTGGAACTGTTCATTTAGTCTGTGGCATCTCCTGTTCTATCCCTGTTCCCAAATCTGTTCTGCCCAGGAATCAAACCCAGGATTCCTGATTGTGAGTCAAGAAAGCAGTTAAGTCTCCTGCTCTCTTCCTTTCTCTACATGTTTACTGTGTAGAATAGATTAATGGCTTTAGTATTTATCTTATGTAGAAGAGGTCGACAGTGGTATAAATTGCATGTTGTAGAACTAGGTTTTTTCTGAGCCTATCAAAATTAACCCTTAACATGCTCGGGGTCTAATATCCTGCCATTCCCACAGGCGCATGTCATTTTGAAAAAAAAAAAAAAATTATTTTTTCTTTCTAACCTGTTAATTTGTGTTCACTGATCACGGGAAAAATAATAAAAAAATCGTAAGTGGCATATATTGCCCGCTATAGGGCGGGGAAGTCTGGCAATTTAGAGGCGCTGACTCTGCGTGCGTCCCAGGCGGTCTGTTGCTCGCAAGCTGTCAGGCCAGAGTTGCCACAAAGAGATAATTACCGAATTATTTCAATGTCTCTGATTGATTTTTCATACTTTTTTTGTTGTAATATTATTCAATAGTGTGTAGTTTGATATATTTATATAATAAAATGAGTGAATCGTTGGTGTACTCAAAAATATGGTGTGCATATTGTTGATTCAATTATGTTCATCAATCAGTGAACAAATACTTTGTCGGTTATTACACTATAAGCACAGGTTATACATAAGTATTTGCATGTTTTGTTCACTATAACGAACCACTAAGTAGCTATTATGAGTCAAAAAGTAATGAGGAGTGACCGCCGTGTACCAGCCAGCCACTCCCGCCCTCCCTCCAGTCATCTGACTCACCCACATTCTCCTCCCACAATAATGTTTTTGCTATAATTCACTATATACAGACGTTATATATACAGTAAGTGTCTACATGTTTTGTTCACCATAACTGTACATCTAAGCTTGTATGGTGAGTAAAGGCACAGAGATGTGGCTACTCACACAGTCAGCTGATCGGCGGCCGCCCTCAAGGTCAGACGCACTAATATTTCTCCTCCAACAATACTGTGTGGTGTTATTACACTATATATCTTATATACAGACGTTATATATAAGTATCTACATGTTTTGTTCACCATAACTGTACATCTAAGCTTGTATGGTGAGTAAAGGCACAGAGATGTGGCTACTCACACAGTCAGCTGATCGGCGGCCGCCCTCAAGGCCAGACGCACTAATATTTCTCCTCCAACACTGTGTGGTGTTATTACGCTATATACACACATTATATATAAATATCTACCTGTTTTATTCATCATACTTGTACAAATAAACTGGTATGGTGCCCAAAGACCATCGTGGTAACCAGTAAACAACACCGTCGTCTGGACGGTGGTGTCGTGCAGACGACGCCACCGCTCTCACCAAAATGGCGGCTCCAAACCTTCTCTTGCTGTTTATACCCTCTATATGCACGTTATATATAAGTATCTACATTTGTGTTCACCATAGCGAACCACTAAGCTGGTATGGTGAGTGCAGTCAATAAAAGGTGGCCACACACAGTCAAAAGACATCGCCACCACCCTCCCTCCCACAGCATTACACCTCCTTCCATGGCGCACAGCGCTAAATATCACCACAATCCTGCTATTATCAGAACCCTGGTCAGTTTTATCACAGGGGTCTTCTGTAATAATATCATCGCTACATAATAGCATGAACAAGTATAATTTGGCATTTTTAGGCGATGCTGTGGTCACAAGCTGAACAGCAGTGCTGTTAGCTCATGCTGCGTGCGTCAGGCTTGGTTGCTCACTCAATACTGAGGCCAATAACACCCGGGAGTTTCCCCACGATTTTTAAAAAAAATGGCGTCTGTTTACAAGAGCCCTGATGAAGGTGTGGTGAACCCCATGTATCCGCGGGCTGTTTAAATCTTGCGTAGTACTCCAACACATCATATGACGTGATGCGCAGTTTACTGGTACAACGTCCAGCACTTCATATGACGTGATGCGCACTTTAAGGGTTAAACACACATGTTAAGAATTTATTATATTTGTAAATAACATGTACAGTATATATATTTTTAAGATTTGTTGAAATTCATGTTGTGTTTTCTGTGACAGAAACAGCTACTATGGGAGTGGGCAAGGTAGCTCTCTCACCCTCAGAGTCCTGGGATATACCCCTTGCAGCTATCTTCTGTATTGCTATTGCAACATATGTTGTCCTAGTCATTATAGGTAAGAACTTTATTTTATAAATTTAATGTAAAACTTAGTCTTATTGTGTATGCTTATCATAGTTCTTATAGCTATGATGATATATTCAGTATCTATGCTTTATATATACAGTACTGTACAGTGAAAGTGCCATGTTACAAAATATTTGCAACTTAGGACCTCCCAGAAGCCACTTGAATTTCCCTTCAACAGCTTAACAAGAATTGGACTTCATTGTTGGATATGAGGTTTTCATTGTTTAGAATGATTTGTGTTTTTGGGGGGAGCCCCTTCGACTCCCCAGAGCTAACTTGGCTGATGTGAATGTATTAGACCCCTTTGGCATCAGTCAATGCACATAGAGTTCTAGGCCTACCGGGGACCACAAGCCAGAACCCGGGCCCCCTCAGAGAGGCATGAGGAACAATGGCCTATAGAAACCTCATTGTGGTTGGAAGCATTCTATGTCTGCCATCGACTGGGTCAGGCACCCAGAAAGGTAAGCGCCCCAAAACAAACCCCTATTCTGGTTAAAATATTGCTACTGAAAGACGAACTAGTGGACAGAACTCCCCAAATGAAAAATGAGCAAACGAGCATGACGTCACCACGTCACCGCGCCGCTGTCTGTGCAACACCCCCCCCCCTCCCGGGAGGGGGAAGGGGACCCCCACGCCAGCTATCCACATCCCTAGTTCTGTGGCTGATGTGGTACTCCCCAAGCCCGGCCCAAGGCCAGGCTTGACTTGTGAGAGTTTGGTCCACTAGGTTGTTACTTGGAGCAGCCCGCAGGCCCACATATCCACCACAGCCCGGTTGGTCTGGCACTCCTTGGAGGAAACAATTTAGTTTCCTCATGAAGATGTCCACGGTTGTTCTGGCAATATTTCTTGTGCTCGCTGGGGGGGTGTTGAACAACTGCGGACCTCTGATGTATATACAGTGTTCTCTGATTGTGCCTATGGCACCCCTGCTCTTCACTGGTTCTATTCTGCATTTTCTTCCATATCGTTTACTCAAGTACAGTGGGGCCTTGACTTATGATGGTAATCCGTTCCCAGAGACAGATCGTAAGTTGAAATATCGTAAGCCGAAGGGATTTTTCCCATAAGAAATAAAGGGAATTGAATTAATCCGATCCCCACCCTCCAATTTTTTTTTTTTTTTGAGATATATACAAGAGTTGTTACATTCTTGTACAGCCACTAGTATGCGTACCGTTTCAGGCAAGTCACTGGAATACGACCCCCACGAAGAATAGTTTTTACAACCAAGTACCCATTTTACTGTTGAGTTAAACAGAGGCTACAGTTAAGGATTTGCGCCCAGTAAATCCTCCCCGGCCAGGATACAAACCCATGATAAAGCACTCGCAGAACGCCAGGCGAGAGTCTTACCACTACACCATGGAGACTGGTGACTATTAACTTACAAATACAGTACATTTTATACTGAATACAATTTTGTTCTCTAACTTCAATACAGTACATATGTTTATCTTACCTTTATGGAGACCTCTTGATGGCATATGGAAGATGGTGATGAGGAGGAGAGGTGTTACTGTTTGGAAGGGGAGTCCCCCTTCCATTATAACATCAGGCAGTGATGACTTTTCTGGGATACAATCTCTGGCATGTTTTGCCTTCATACCACTAGGACCTGCTTGTGGCTCACTGCTTGCTTGTCTTACTAAGAATCTGTCTAAAAACACTTGTTTTTCCCTACATTTTAACACTTGTCTGTAGTAAGACATCACATTGTCATTTAAAAGGTCAATGCAACGGCCTGCTACAGCTTTATCTGGGTGAGTTTTTTCAACAAAACTTTGCAGTTCTTTCCATATTTCACACATTTTCTTAATGAGGAAGGGATATCCTCTACTGCCACAACTCACAACTATTTTCTTAGGTTGAACCTTACTACTGACTATCTGCGACCCATGGTGTGATATATAATAATCAGTTTTTTGGGGGGAGCCCCGTCGGCTCCCCGGAGCTTTACCGGCTGATATGCTAATATCAGACTTTGGCATCAGTCATGTGTATGGAGTTCTAGGGCCTACCGGGGACCACGAGCCAGAACCTGGCCCCCTCAGAGAGGCAAGGGGAGCAATGGCCTATAGAAACCCCCGTGTGGTTGGAAGCATTCTATGTCTGCCATCGACCGGGTCAAGCATCCAGAAAGGTAAGCATTCCAAAACAAACCCCTATTCTGGTGAAAATTGCTACCTAAGCCGAACTAGTGGATAGAACTCTTCAACAGAAAACAAGGAAACTAGTATGACGTCATACGTCACCGCGCCGCTGTCTGCGCAGCTCCCCCCTCCCCGGGAGGGGGAAGGGGGAGCCCCAGACCTCCCACGCCGGCTATCCACCCATCAGTTCTTCGGCTGATGCTATAGGCGTTGGTCAGCCTGTGTCCTGTGATGTGCTTCTTTGTCTCGGTCTATTGCAGTTGTTCGTGCCCCTTGGTTCGGGTCCTGTTCTGGCGGCGACCCTTCCGCCTTCTTTGGTTTTCCTAGCTTGCCCTGCCGGTTGTTTTTTTTTTTTTTTGGGGGGGGGGGTTTCTTGCGATGTCTCGCGTTGGACCCGTCGTTTCTGAACTCCTGGCGGGCTTGCATGCTTTGGGGAGTTTTTCTGTTCGGCAGACGTTCCATCTCCTTGTGCCGCCTGGGTTTCGGTGGTCGCGCCCGAGATCTTCTCGCGGCTCCGCCTTTTTCCTGGGCTCGGGGGGGCCTTGTCGGGGCTGCTTATGTTCTGCCTCGGGGTCTCGCCTCCGGTTGGTGGTCGGGTGGCTTCGTGGTAGGTGTCCCACCTGCGTGCTTCTCTTGGCGGCAGTATGGGTATTTTGGCGGTCCTTCCTTTTCCTGTCCCTTCTTAGGTGGTTACTCTTGTTAGCTTGGTTTACTCTCGGCTTGGTTTTCTAGTGGGGGTTGGGGGCCGTCGTCTTGCCACATACTGTCGCCTCTTTTCGTGCGGCGCAGGCGGAGCCGCTTCAGCTTGCTTTCGGTCTTGGTGTTGCTTCTGCACCGTTAGTCAGCTGTCTTGTGCGTCGTTTCACCTCTGGCCTGTTTGTGCGCCGCTTGCACCATCCTGGTCTCTGGTCAGCGTGCTCTATCTTCTCCTCGGTTGGTAGTGCCCCTTCGGTTCCAGTGTGTTTTTTCGTCGGCTCTTTCCTTTGGGCCTTTGCCTCTGGGGGTCTGTTCGCTGAGTTTTCTTGCTCCTTCGGTTTTAGCGTTTTGGTTGTTTGATGGCAGCAGTCTCCATCTTTTCTGGCGCGGGGTGGGGCTGCTGCATTCTGGAGGTGTCCAGGGTTTGTTGGTGCTTCGTTGGTCGGGCCGGGGGTGTGTCGTTTTTGTGTTCAGTGGCGGCCCTCCGCTGTTGTTTGCGTGCCACGGCGTTTGGATCCGGAGCGCGTTTTGCGTTGATCCGGTTCTGTTCTTCCCGGTTCGCGGGTGATGGTGTCCCGGGTGGTCAGCCGTGTTCTTGCGGCTAAGCTGCCTGTGTTCTTCCCTCATGCCTGTGGCGTTCGTGGCTTCGCTGCTCTCGCTGCCGTCTGGGCGACGTGGCCTTGCAGTCTTTCGGGCATGGATTTTTGGTGTTCGTGTAGGGGCCTTGCTGCTTGTGGTTCTCGTGTTATCCCGGGATTTTCGGGGCTGTGGCGCCTTGGGTTGGCGTTTGCTGCCGGTTGTCTCGCCTCCTTGGGGGGTGCGTGGTGTCCGCCTCCCGGTTTTGTCCCTTTGACCTTCCACTGTGGGTAGTTAGCTCCGGGGAGCCGACGGGGCTCCCCCCAGAAAACCAGCGTTGAATGTAATGAAACGCCATTTTCTGGGTGAGACCCGGAGGCTCCCCGGCAACCCTCCTTCCCTCCGGTCGGCGTTTTTCGCGTGTTTTGACATCCAGCCTCAGAACTGATGGGTGGATAGCCGGCGTGGGAGGTCTGGGGCTCCCCCTTCCCCCTCCCGGGAAGGGGGGAGCTGCGCAGACAGCGGCGCGGTGACGTATGACGTCATACTAGTTTCCTTGTTTTCTGTTGAAGAGTTCTATCCACTAGTTCGGCTTAGGTAGCAATTTTCACCAGAATAGGGGTTTGTTTTGGAATGCTTACCTTTCTGGATGCTTGACCCGGTCGATGGCAGACATAGAATGCTTCCAACCACACGGGGGTTTCTATAGGCCATTGCTCCCCTTGCCTCTCTGAGGGGGCCAGGTTCTGGCTCGTGGTCCCCGGTAGGCCCTAGAACTCCATACACATGACGGATGCCAAAGTCTGACATTAGCATATCAGCCGGTAAAGCTCCGGGGAGCCTCCGGGTCTCACCCAGAAAATGGCGTTTCATTACATTCAACGCTGGTTTTATGTTCAAAAAGCAAAAAATCCCCACAAATCCGGAATTTCTTATAGGCGTGATCGTCATTAAGCGGGCACTGTAGTAAACTGAGGCAGGTTGGCCCGCGTGACCAGGAACCACGAGCTTGGTCGACCTAAATGTGTACCAACAAATATCGTTAGTCGACGACACTATCGTAAGTTGAGTCGCATTTTTCGATCAAATTTACATCGTAACTCGAAATTATCGTAAGTCGAGATGCCACTGTAAGTTGTTGAAGTATGTCAACACATTCGTACGTTCGTACTTGTTGTTCACTCCAGCACTGGGTAGAATACCACCTGGTGTTCAATTGACCAGTGGTGTTTCATGCACCACTGTTTCCTTATGGGTAGGGGGTAGTTTCATCACTATTTGGGGTGCAGGGTACTGTGCAGCTAGTTTTCACCTCTCATAGCAGCCGGCTCTGTTCCACCTGGGCACGTTGTCCTCTTGCAGGGTTTTCCCTTTGTTCTCCTGCCTGGTGGGTGGTCTGCCCCTTGGTTTTTGGTCACACCCATTTACATCTTGGTGGTCTTCCACTAGGCCCACGTGAGTGTACACGTCCCGGAAATTCAGCTTTAGCAGTTTGATTTGTAACTTTGGGCGCCGGTTAGCAGTACCTTGCCTTGGCTTCCTTTAGCGAGATTAT